TTTAATGAGAATTGCATGTTAGCTATAAATCTACTTGAGATGAACTGTCACATTTATGATAACCATGAACGTGATTTGTTTCCATCTATTTCAGGTCTTTTAAAATGATGTCAGTATCATTGTACAGATGATTTTCAAAATATTTTACACCATTTCTTATGCATTATTCCTAGATATTTTCACTGTTATGCTACCTATATTGCATATTTTATTTAAATGTTTTATCATTGTTGCTAGTATTTAGAAATGCAGTCTACTTTTATATGCCTTGTCACATTTTAAACTCATGTTAATTCTAATACTTTGTAAAGTGGACTTGCTAATGTAAGCATCCATATCATTGTAAATAATGAGAGCTATATTGCTGTTTTATTTATAATACATACTTACTTGCTTTTGTTTCTTTGACTTTTTGAGATGGCTAGAACTCCAATTCAATAAGTGGTATATTTAGATGCAATTATGTATCCTTGCCTTGTTCCTGATATTAAACAAAAATGTGCCTAACATTTTACCATTAGTATTTTGTTGGTACATTCCTTTTGGTAGGCTCCTTTAATTGGGTAAGGATGCTTCCTTTATTTTGTTTTACTGTCATTTTGTTTTTCTAGCACAAATGGGCATTGAATTTTACTGCAAGCTGTTACAGAACAATTAGGTTGTTTGTTTACATTTTAGCCTTTAATTGGTTAATGTGATAAATTACTAAATCAGTCAGAATAGATCAAATTTCACTATAATAACAACCCCCATCTTAGTCCTTTAGGGCTGCTTTAATAAAGTAAATACCATAAACAAAGTACCCATAACAACACAAATGTATTTCTCATAGTTCTGGAGGCTGGCAAGTCCAAAATCAAGGCAGCTTCAGTATCTGATGAGGGCTCATTTTCTGCTTCCTAGAAAACCTTGCCCTCACATTGTAGAAGAGGCCAGGCACCTCTCTAAGGCCTCTTTTACACAGACAGTAATCTCAATGATGAGGACTCTGCCTCATGTCACAAACATTCAGACCAAAGCACCCTCAAAACTCAGTAGCTTAAAACAATAAAGGTTTATTTCTTGTTCATGCTACATCACAGGTTGGCTGCAGCCCTACTCCATGTTGTCTGCAATCCAGAATTTATGCCAATAGAAGAGCTTATCTTAATACAAATCAAAACCACAATGAGAGACTGTCCCACACCAGTCAAAATTGCTATTATTAAAAAGTCAAAAAAACAACAGATGCTGGCAAGGTTGTGGAGAAAAAGGGAGTGATTTTATACTGTTGGTGGGAGTATAAATTAGTTCAAACATTGTGAAAGACAATGTGGTGATTCCTCAAAGACCTAGAAGCCATTTAACCTAGCAATCCAATTACTGGGTATACATCCAAAAGAATAGAAATTATTCTATTATAAAGATGCAAACACAGGTATATTCATTACAGCATTATTCACAATAGCAAATACTTGGAATCAACCTAAATACCCATTAATGATAGACTGGATAAGAAAAAATATGTGGTACCTATAAACCAGGGAATACTATGCAGCCATAAAATGGAATGAAAGTAAATCCTTTGCAGGTACATGGATGGAGGTGGAAGCCATTATCCTCAGCCAAGTAATGCAGGAACAGAAAACCAGACACCACATGTTCTCACTTATAATTGGGAGCTGAATGATGAGAACACATGGACCCATGGTGGAAACAACACACTGGGGCATGTCTGGGGTAGTTAGAGGAAGGAAATCATCAGGAAAAATAACTAATGAACACTGGGCATAATACCCAGGTGATAGGATAATCTGTGCAACAAACAACTATGGCACACATTTACCTATGTAACAAACTTGCACATCCTGCTAGTGTACCCCTGAACTTAAATAAAAGTTAAAGAAAGAAATATTTTTCTTTGTTTACAAATGGCAAAGTAAACAAAAGCCTCTCTCTTGAACATTATTGGTTTTATGAAAGAAAAAATAATAATCATTAAGAAGCTATGATGACTCTTGAAGTTTCTACCTGTTACTTGTACTTGTATTTCATCAACTAAAACAAATTACATGCCTAAGGCTGACATAAATATGATGGGAAAGTATAACTCTATTCCAAGTTTGGATGACAATCAACGGAAAAAATAATACTGTCTGTCACAATATATTAAGACATTTTATATTGTTGAACCAGTCTTGCAGTCTTCTAATATTGGTTTAACTCATGTTAATATTAATACATTTCTGAACAATGTGGTATTATTCTCTGGATTTTTAAAAAATCTATGTCCCTGAGTGAAAATGTCCTGTGTTTTTAATTTTGGAGAAGTTCTGTTTTTTATTTTGAAGACTGGGATTAAACTAGCCTCCTAAAATTCACTGACATTTTCTGGTTTCCAGGAAAGTTTCTACAAAATCTGAATGATTGCTTCTTAGAAAGAAGCAATGGGGCTAGTTTTCTTTTGTAAAGAATTTGAATTTCGTTATCTAGGTATTATGCCTAGTACAACAAACCCCCATGACAAGAATTTAACTATATAACACACCTTCACATATACCCCCAAATCTAAAATTAATGTTAGAACAAAAACTTTAAATTATTGTTTATTTCTTTCATTATTATGAAATATTTGTTTTCTAGTTTTTTTTCTGAAGTCATCTTAAAATTATATTTGTCTAGTTCTCTGTTTACATTTTAAATGTTATTGCGACAAGGTATTTTATTGCATCTCCTTTTTGTATTATTCATTCTTTAATTTTATACATTTAATTCATTCTCTTACTTATTTGTGTATTTTGTTTTTGCTTGATCATTCTTGGTCTAAGATTAAAATTTTTACTATACTTTTATAAATCACCTTATTTTTGCCCTAATAAATAATTTCTTCTTATTCTTTGCTTTCCATTTCATTAAATTCACTCTTAAAATCATCATATCAATTACTTTACATTCTTCGATATATATATTCCTTTGATTACCTCAATATAATTTTAATCCTTGTCCTTTTCTGCCATTTACATCTATATATTTTTTCACTTTCTAATTTACCTGCATTATAAAGTTGCAATATGTTGGTAGTCTTTATTTTTGGTATTTCTAAAACATTTTAGTTAAAATGATAAAGAAGACCTATGATTCCTTATTTGATCTATATATTGAATTTTTATAGTTCTGAATATATTAAAACTTTCATTTTGTTGTTATTGATATAAAATGTAATTGTATTGTGATTATGATCAATCATTTCTGTAATACAAATTCTTTCGAATTTGTTTTATACTTTAGTTCATGTAACTTTGAAAAAAGTTTGTATACACTGAAGAAAAGTGTTATTTAATTGTTACACACATTTATACCTGTGTCTAGTAAATCAAGTTTATCAATTATACTTATGAATTTGTGTATTAGTTTTAGTCTTTTGTTGGTCTTTTGACTTTTTAACTAAGATACTTGTGTTAGAATTTTTTAATATAATGAAAAATATGCCAATTTATTTTTGTAGTTATACATCTTATAGATTCATATGGTTAAATATATTTTTAAGGTGCATAGCATTTCAAAAAATTATTTTTCACTCATATATTTTAAAGTTTATCCTGCCAGTCAGGCATGGTCACTCTTGGATGTGACAGGCACCATGCTAAGCTCTGCATTACTAATTTTGTATTTGTGTTTTTAGATAAATTTCCTTTTGTAGGTATAATCTGATGTGATCAAAGGGGGCTTTAAAATTACTTAAAATATATGAATATAAAATAGGAAAATAATATTAGTTAACAGTGGGAGAGAAATAGAAAATAAATGTAAGGATATAACATATAACCTGTCTGAAATATTGGTCTTAAATCTTAAAAACTTATCGCTGGTAATAATAACATCAATAGCAAACAACTTTGCATTTTATTAAGCCTGCCACAATATTAAGTGCTTAGTGCATACATAAAGTGTTTTAATACTTGCACCAACCTGATAAAGGAGGTACTTTTTTCTATTTTTCAAATGAGAAAACTGAGAAGTAAAGAGAACCAAAGCAAGATCTCACAGCCATTAAGAGCCATTAAGAGTCTGCAGAATCTATATTCTTAACAACCTTTAAACAGTTAAATATAGGTATTGTGCTATTTCATACATTCAGGTCATGATTTCTACACGTAAAAAAAAAATTAGCCAGAACCAGTTAGCATAAATATACAAGATGAATGAAAATATGCATAAGGAAATTCAATATGCATTTATAAACTGCATGTGACCTTTATAAATCTCACTGTTTTAAATTTCAAATGTTGTACATATATGTGCTAAATCTTGAGCAAACTAAAACCTGAGCATTTCACTAATAGGACAACTATGTACAATTGACATTTATTCTTTTCAATAAATAAAGAGAACATGTGATTAATTATAGAACTAATTTTCATTATTTTTAACTTTGTAGAAAGCCCCAAACAAATGTTTGTCATGAATAAAATATATGAGGGTTGCTAAAATTGAGAGACAATATAAATGAGCTGATAATAACAAGAAGCTGTGAGTTATTTATTTGCGTTTAAAAAATGCTCACAAAAATTTAGAATGCTAGAGTAGCTCTGGTTATTAACTAGGTGAGTAACTTTCTCCTGGTTGCATATGTTACAAGAACCTCAAATTTCCTCATTTGTAACACAAGAGGACTAGATTAAATCATTCTTTCTAGATTTCACTTATTTCCTCAATGACTTCCTGGCCCAAAATTCTAAAGAAAAGGTTAACTTGCATTTCTAAAATCCTGTCACTTATACTGGGGACTTGGTGGGAGTTTGGGGGTAGACAAAGAAAGCCACATTTCCAGGTGTGCCTTCATACTTTAGTGGACCATTTTCAAATCAAAGTAATTAGGAAGATGAACAGTTAGATTCCAGCCATTTGTTCTATTGCTTTTTTCTTTTTTCTTTTTCTTTTTTTTTTTTTTTTTGAGACGGAATTTCGCTCTTGTTACCCAGGCTGGAGTGCAATGGTGCAATCTCAGCTCACCGCAACCTCTGCCCCCTGGGTTCTGGCAATTCTCCTGCCTCAGCCTCCTGAGTAGCTGGAATCACAGGCATGCGTCACCATGCCCAGCTAATTTTTTGTATTATTTAGTAGAGACGGTGTTTCACCATGTTGACCATGATGGTCTCAATCTGTTGACCTCGTGATCCACCCGCCTCGGCCTCCCAAAGTGCTGGAATTACAGGCTTGAGCCACCGTGCCCAGCCTGCTTTTTTCTTTATTTATTATTTTATTTCTCCAAATTTTAGAATACCTTCTAGGTACAGAGCTCTATGAACCCCAGAGTTGGTCAATTATAAGTATTATTATTCAGACTTCATGGAACTGGAAATGAGGTAGTACAATAAAAGAGAATTACAGAACTTCTCCCTGCCCTCCCTCACATTCTAATTAGACATAGTCCCTCATAGCAAGTCACCTAATATTTCTCAATGCCTTGTTACAAAAGAAGAAAATGTCTGCTGGGTGCAAATATTATATGAAAACCTGAGTTCTGAAAATTTGACTGCTTCCAGAACATTGTAAGAGTTCTGGCTCACTGAATAACAGATGCTCATCTATAGAGGTTTTATTTATTTATTTATTTATTTGTAAAAAATATTATTCTTGGTAACCTGATATTTTTGAACTAGTTTATTCCCTAGAAAATGCGTCTTTCTTTTTTCTCTTTCTTTTGTTCTTCTTAGAAGGAGAAATTGCTAGACATCTATAGGTATGCTTAGACCTACATCACATTTTTTTCAGATCATCTCAAGCTAAACAACTTTCATTTATCTTATATCTCCTTAATTTTCCTTCAATTGTCTTTAATTTTGTCCTAAAAATATTTTAAGTATAGCACGATCTAGTCACACTTTTTGGCAATATGAAAAAATAAAACCTAAAAGTTCAGCTTGTAATGACACATAAAGATCAAATATAATTTATCACACTGAAGAAATTGAACTGACCTCAATGATTTTGGTTCTAATTTCACATGGTGTGGCCTGCAAAAGAACATGACTTTATATACTTTCCTTGTCTCTGTTAATTTTAACTATTTCCTGGAGATTTAGGAGATAAAACCCTGATTCTAAGCACTTTGAAATCAAAACACATGCTTTGGATAATTTTCCAAATGTAGCACAGTAATTTAATTTCCCTTATGTGTACATTTATTCAGGAACTTCCATCTAGTCACTGGTCCCAAGTTGTTGCATTAGCAATTAGCACTTTCCTTCAGAACCAAGAGAAAGTGTAGTTATCTTTTATTGAACATGTTTTATCTCTAGTAAGCACTTCATTAATTGGCCTTTTGTTTGGAATGCGTAAGTTGAGACTCCTTTGAATTGATCTTTTCTCTTTAATTTTTCCCATTGGTATTACTCACTGACTAATGTCAGTTTGGCTTCGTATTCTTAATGTTGCTATTATTACCTGAGTGTGGGATGTACAGACCCATGGGGCAGGAACAATACTGTTAGCCTGCCCTCCCTTGCTTCACAACACCATCAGTGATCTGATCATTTCCACTTTAGTGACTAGGGTTCATAACAGAACGTGACAGTAAAAACTAGAGCACTGAGCTTACACTGTAATCTAATTGTTCCTGAGCATTGGTTTAATATTATAAAACTTCAGAAATACAATATCCCATTGCACTTAGAGACATTAGGAAGAGCACTTTTTTATTGTTGTCACTGTTATTGCTATTATTGAGATGAGAAATTTGAAAACATAAGAACAAGCTGAAATAATGCATGTATCTTATAAATTTTCAAACCTATCTACTGGCCAATAAACATTAATTAAAGTCAAATATATACCCGAGTCTCATAACAAATAAAGTGTTACACAGAAGGTGCTGCTGAGTTGTACAACAGGGAACACATTTACAGCCTAGAGTCTAGTCATAAGTGGTTCTTTCTGGGAGGGAGTGGAATATAACCTCTGATCATTACAGCAGAGAAACATGCTAATACTGCCAAAGGTGCTAGATACAGAAACAGATTCTCAATCAGAAAGATGGCTACTGTGCCACACAAACTGATAACATGGTTCTTGGGATTAATACATTAAACATGAACCCTATGCTTTATGAAGAATATAGGAAATAAACAGAAAACTCAATAAATTAAAACTTGGTTCTTTAACTGAATTTTGAAAAGATTAAGTTCAATTTAAAAATGAGGTCTTCACACACTAGTGAGGTAAGAGAAAATGTTGGTTTCTAAAATAGGAAAAATGTGAACCAAGGATGAGGATAATCAATGCCTGATGAATATGACTAGATGATTCTTGACCCATTTTGGGTAGAGGGCCTGAAAGCTGGCATGAGAACACAATGAGTTGAAGTGATAGGCCTATTTTTTTAAAAATAATAATTATTATTAACATTGTATTGTTAGTAAAATATGTACAGTGAATGTCGATTCTCAATGTGCTCAAGTATTTTAAACAAATTTTTTCTTTAATTTCCTTTAAATGCCACATTGAAAAACTGTTCTAGTTTTTAACTACACCATGGCTAGATTATGGAATGATGAATTAACTAGACCTTACTTTTCTGAGTACTCTGCAGTGAAAATTGTGTTACAAATTTCTATCCACTATTGATGATTCATCGAAAGATATATCTTAATCTCAAGAGAATATGCCTTTTTCACTGCCATGATCCACAGCTTAGCTTATTGAACTAAAAAAAAAAATTATAATATCTGGCTTATAGATGTGATTTACATTTTGTAACACAATGTAAATAAAACATTCTGTAGTGAAATCCAAATATGTCTTCTATAAATGGTACTAGTCAAATCCTATAACTGTATGGGCAAAATTGAACCAAAACTCTTATCTCTTACCACCTTAATTTTAAATGGACCATAGGCCCAAATGTAATAAGTAAACCAATAAGGCTTCTGGAAAAAAATTAAAATATAGAAAAATACTTTTATGCTATTGGATTAGGAATACCTTTTCAAAGAGGTCATCAAATAAAAAAATTCTGGGCCTAATTTTCAGCTCAAACTGAGCTGTGGCTGTAGTGGAAGAGAATACTTTTGAACCCATCTAGACAGGCCCTCTGTCTTTCAGATAGTCCTTGGGTTGGTCATTACTAGTCAGGACCTGGAGGTTGAGATTGCCTACAGATTCACATTGATTTGGGATAAGTAAATTAGACCCTCTGATCTCTAAATCAGTTATTGAATGTAGGTCACTCCCTGGGAAAAGGGATGATTTTACCTAATTTCAGAGATCGAGGTGGGGAGGAGCTCCTGTGGTCCTATATTATAGCATGAAGATTTTCTCTTAATACCCTTTTTCAGCCCCATGTCAGTGCCATTCACTGGTCCTATTCTTTTGATGATTCTTGTCCCAAAGATTCGTGGTGAACCATCACTGGAAAACAAGCCTCTCCTCTCCTGCGTGGCTATGCATTTGGTATAATAGGAAACTTCGTTCTGAACTAGAAAATAAAAAAGAAATAGAATATTAAACATCAGGGAAATTCTCTAAATCACTCCACTTTCAAATGCAAATATTTTAAAAGACATTTCAAGGTATGAAAATGAATTTCCATTTCAGTATAATAACCATCATTATATAATCAAATACTTCTGGCTTATTACAAATGGATATCATGAAACAAATGTTTATTTCCTCCATTTTATTTTCCTTTATGGAGACAGGATCTTACGCTGTTGCCCAGACTGGAGTGCAGTGGTGTGATCATAGCTCGCTCCAGCCTTGAAATCCTGGTCTCAAGCCATCCTTCAGCCTTGGCCTCCCAAAGAGAAAGGACTACAGGCAATGGTCACTGCACCTGGCCCTGCTCCATTTTTAAATTTGTCAAGAGATTATGACCAAGAAAATTTAGAATAATTTACCATTCTAAATATATAATATAGCATTTATTCTCATGCAAGAGAATACACCTACTCCAAGAAATACACACACTCACCCACAGACACACACACATTCACATTCACTCTTTACTTCCACTAAAACACACTCTTGTCTCAATTTTAACTGTAGTTAGTATCTCCTGTAGAGAGGTTATTTAAAAGAAATTAAAAGAGCTTTACACCTCAGCATTAGACGAATTGTGATAATAAAGTGAAATCACACTTTCTACACATGAAGGTGATATAACTACTATAGTTATTATAATATTTCTCATGTGGTTAATTTAATGCAGTACTGAAAAGACAGTTTGCTAAAACACTGGGTGAGAATTCATCTCAAAGCCACAGGAGAGTCAGAGCAATAGCATATGGCTGATTTCTGGAACGTTAGCACAATTTATTTTGTCAAGGAAGAAATGTATCAGTATAAGTTTCAGCTCAATTAAATATTAACACTTCAGAAAGAATCAATTTCACTTATCCACAAACAACTTTTGAAATAATAAATGCTGAAATTTTTAAGTGCCGTTAATTGATCAAGAGATTATTATTTTTGACTTATATAATGAAGAAATATTCTCTGTTGTATCTTCTTTGGGAATATAAAAAATGATTATTTTTGAAAAAGCTATTGGTTAAAAATTAGTAATAGATGTAGAATTATATTTTTATTTATGTGATTTGTCTTTTTAAACAAGTCATGCAATGTCTTTTCTTATAGGGGCTTTTTATAAGTACCCTTATAAGAAAGACAAGAGGCCACACACTGTGGCTCATACCTGTAACCCTGGCACTTCGGGAGGCTGAGGTGGACAGTTCAAAAGGTCAGGAGTTTGTGACCAGCCTGACCAACATGGTGAAACTCTGCCTCTACTAAAATTAGTCAGTGTGTTGGCAAACACCTGTAAACCCAGCTACTCAGGAATTTGAGGCATGAGAACTGCTTGAACCCGGGAGGCAGAGGTTGCAGTGAACCCAGACTGCACCACTGCACTCCAGCCTGGGCGACAGAGCAAGACTCTGTCTCAAAAAAAAAAAAAAAAAAAAAAAGACAAGGTTTCTGGTCTGGTGTTTACTACACTTGATCATACCCAAAGGCCGGTGGTCTGGTCTTTTCTTATAAGGGCACTAATTCCACCATGAAGGTCCCCCTCCACTCTCGTGTTCTCATCTAAATCAAATCATCTCCTAAAGGCCCAACCTCCAAATATCATCACATTGGGGGTTAGGGCTTCCACATTTTACTGCAATGGGAAAGGGAACACAAATATTCAGTCCATAGCAGTCGGATAACAGGCAAGGAATTTGACAATGTAATTTTGAAAGTGGAAACAACTTTTCCCAGGGTTGTTTTATTTACCATTCTGTACCATTGTGAGAACGGTAGGGTTTTGCACACTAAACTGTTCTGGTATCATAGTCATGGTGGGCTTTATGGGTGCAACATTATCTTATATTGTCTCTGATTCATGATTGCCCACAACTCAGGTTATTACAATGAGGGGAGCGTGGCTAGAACTGACAAACTCTAGAGAACCTTCTAAAAGAGCTGTATCCTCCATTTGATTTAATCTCTTTATCTTATATTGGTATGGTCCTATGTCACTGCAGAAAGGTCACTGTCACATTTTATTGCATTAGAATTCCCACGTAATCTTGAAAGATTTGTGACATAATTTTACAGATGACTAATCTCATACTTAAAGAACTAATGTCGGAAATGCGAAAACATGTATTTAGACTCTTGTTTTACTTTTGTTTTGCTTTAACACTTTGCTTTTCTCTGCACATAGGAAGAAATAGAATTATATGTACCAGAAATGAATCAGAAATAATTTGTAGTATGTTCTAATATCTATATTAATATGTATTTCCCCATGTAACTTTTCTTTTTCTATTTCCTTATGACTTCTATGTTTATTTTTCCATATAAATTGTACTATTCACCATTCTAATTTCATAAGGAAACTTGTTGGTTTTATTAGTTAGATTGCATTAATTTATAAATTAATTTGGAGATATTTCAAATGTTAACAATGTTAATAAGCCTTATCCAAAAACAAGATATCTGTCGATACATTCAGTGTACATTTGGGCCTTCAAGAAATGTTTCACAGAGAGAGATCCATGATGGCCGATTACTAACTGCTCAGGATTGTAGCTCCCAGTAAAAGCACAGAGAATGAGAGGACAACACACTTTCAGACGAATTTTTGTTGCTCACAGACCAGGATATTCCCAGCAGAGGAGCCCCAAGGGTCACCAGCACGACTCTTGTGGCTGGCATGGTGGTTTTCTGGCACCTCGGTGCAGCAGTTCTTGGTGCAGAGTAAACAGGACTGGGTCCCCTTTGTGGTCGATGTTTGGAGCTCTGCGAAGGCAGAGTTGCCCATTCAGCTGATTGAAAAAGGGACTCAAAAGGGAAGTCAGACCGGAGATTCCTGGGCAGAAAAGCACCATGAATCTTAATGCCGCTGTTTTAGCTGGTGCAGTGGGTTGCTCAGATTGCAGCACTGGGAATCAACAAGTTTGATGTCCACTCAGAGACCTAATTTGAAAGTCGGTAATTACAAAGATGACAGGTGGATAAATTTACAATGATGGAAAGAAACCAGCATTTTTATGGCTGAGAATACCCAAAATCAGAATGCTTCTCCCTCTACAGGGGATCACAGTTCCTCATCAACAAGGGAACAAGGCCTGATGGAGAATGAGTGCATTCCATTAACAGAATTAGGCTTCAGAAGGTGGATAATAAGAAACTTTTGTGAGTTAAAAGAACATGTTCTAGCCCAACATAAAGAAACTGAGAACGTTGAAAAAAGGTTCGACAAAATCCTAACGAGAATAGACAATTTAGAGAGGAATATAAGTGAATTAATGTAACTGAAGAATACAATATGAGCACTCTGTGAAGTATGCACAGGTTTTAACAGTCGAATTGATCAAGCAGAAGAAAGGATATCAGAGGTCGAAGACCAACTTAGTGAAATGAAACAAGAAGAAAAGATTAGAGAAGAAAGAGTAAAAAGGAATGAGCAAGTCTCCAAGAAATATGGGACTATGTAAAAAGACCTAATTTACATTTGATAGGTGTACCTGAATATCGTGAAGAAAATGAATCCAAGCTGGAAAATATTCTTCAGGATGTCATTTAGGAAAACTTTCCTAACCTAGTAAGGCAGGACGATACTCAACTCCAGGTAATACAGAGAACACCACAAAGATATTCCTCAAGTAGAGCAACCCCAAGACACATAATCATTAGATTCACCAGGGATGAAATAAAGGAGAAAATTCTAAGGGCAGCTAGAGAGAAAGGTCAGGTTACCCATAAAGGGAAGCCTATCAGACTCACAGCAGATCTCTCAGCAGAAACCCTACAAACTAGAAGAGAGCAGGGGTCAATATTCAATATCCTCAAAGAAAAGAATTTTCAATCCAGAATCGCATATCCAGCCAAACTAGGCTTCATAAATAAAGGAAAAATAAAATTTTTCATGAACAAGCAAGCACTCAGAGATTTCATCACCACCAGGCCTGCTTTACAAGAGCTTCTGAAAGAAGCATTACACACAGAAAGGAACAACCAGTATCAGTCATCCCAAAAACTTACCAAAAGGTAAAGAGTATCTCCATAATGAATAATCTATATCAACTAATGGGCAAAATAGCCAGATAACATTAAATGACAATATTAATCCTAAATTTAAATGGATTAAATGCCCCAATCAAAGATACAGACAGGCAAATTGAATAAAAAGTGAAAACGCATCGGTAAGCTGTATCCAGATCCGTCTCATAAGCAACACACAAAGACTCGAAACAAAGGACTGGAGGAAGACTCACTAATCAAATGGAGAGGAAAAAAAAAAAAAAAAAAAAAAGCAGGAGTTGTAACTTTTGTCTCTGACAAAATAGACTTTAATAGTAACAAAGACTAAAAGAAACAAAGAAGGACATTACAGAATGGTAAAAGGATCAATGCAACAACAGGAGTCAATGATCATAAATATATATGCACCCAATATAGGAATACCCAGATACATAAGGCAAGTTCTTAATGACTTATAAAGAGACTTGGACTCCCACACAATTATAGCAGGAGCCTTTGACATCACATTGTTAATATTCAAAATGGATTGACGAGATAGAAAATTAACAGGGACTTCTATGATTAAAACTCAGACATGGAACAAGTAAACTCAGTGAATATTTATAGAATTCTTCACCCCAGATCCACAGAACATACATTTTTCTCAGCAGCACATTACACCTATTTTGAAAGTGACCACATAATTGGAAGTAAATCACTCTTCAGCATTTGCATAGCATTTCACAGACTTAAATGAAATATTGGCTGTTTGTTATTTTCTTCCCTTATTCCTTCCTGTCTCTGCTGTTAAGCACAATTATTGGCATAAAAGACGTTTTTGATACCTATTTTTAGATTGCATTCCAGCCTGGGCAATAGAGCAAGACTTCTGTTCTCTCTCTCCCTTTCTCTTCCTTTCAAAGAAAAAAAAAGAGAGAAAATCAATCAGGAATGATCAAAACACAA